TCTCCCCCCCCGCTCCCCCTCCCCCCCCCCCCCCCCCACCCCCACCCCCACACACACACACACACACACACACACACACACACACACACACACACACACCTACCTGGTGGTCCCCTGGAAAAGCTGGATATGTCTTTGGGGAGAATCGGAACTGTATGTACAGAAGCTGCCTCACCAGAGACCAAGTCCCTGAGGACGGGCAGCAAAGAAAAGGCTCCTTCCAGCTCTCCTGGTCATTCAGTGAGTGTTTTGCTGGCTCCTTATTCTACTGCTGGGCTTTGCAGCTCAGAAGTAGGTTAGTTAGTTGCAGGGAGGGGGAGGGTAGGATAGCAGTCATCGTGAAGAAGTAGGCCAGTTACATAAGTACCTAAGAGCAGGGAGATAGCATCGACAATTACTTTTGGAGATTTGTTGTCTACCGTAGGGGTAGAGTGATGGAGTCAGGGTGTTGAGCTAGGACCACAGCCGGGAAAGAAGGTCATTTTAGATGATGCTTCCAACAGCAGAATGAGGCACAGCCGAGGTACCTAGGGGACAAGGTTGATGAGTAGTCCTGATCTTCCAGAGGAGTGGGTAAAGAATGCAGGGTGTTTGTGTGCATCTAGGGTTCAGTCAGTCAGGATTCTGGGTCTGTGCCTAATGATTACCTGGTGATGGTGCAGGGACCTGAACAAATGGGGTCACTTTCAGAAGGATAGTGCTGCTCCTGGGGCAGTGGCAGGGTCCTGCCAGAGCTGCTGACTTCTGCTGGGCTGTATGAGTGACTTTGGAAGGACAGACAGACAGATCTCAGTGCCTCAGAAGCCCAGGAGATACAATGAGGTGTCAGTCAGTCTTTATTGGGGCTGGGGAGACAGCTCAGCTGACAACAATGTTGTACAAGCACAATGACCTGAATTCACACCTCAGCACCACGTTGGAAAAAAAAAAAAAAACAGGCTTGGTGCTTTGTGGTTGCAATTCCAAGCTGAGGAGGCAGAAACAGGAGGATCACTAGGGCTCACTGGGCAGCCACCCTTGCCTGACGAGCAAGTCCCCAGTCCTAGTGAGAGGCCTTGTCTCATAATGATGAGATGGAAGCTCCTGAGGAAAGATATCTGAGGTTGACTGCTGAGCTCCACACATGAGCACAGACAAACACATACATATAACTGTGGATCCCACCAGCTACATACACAAATCTCTTATATAATCACTGTGTGGTTAGGAGTGAAATTGCTTTTTTTTCCTTTGGGGGACGCGTGGAGGTCAGAGGTCAACTTGCATCAGTCTTCTTCTCTGGGTTCTGTGGGTAGTACTGAGGTTCTCAGCCTTAGTGGCAAGCTCCTTTACGTACTGAGCCATCTTGCCAGCCCAAAGCTAGGACTCTTCACTCCTGTGGTACATCTGGACTAGGGCCATATGAGGAAGCGCTGTAGAATTCTGAAACACGGTCCTCTGGTTTCAGGATCTGGCTGTAGTATGGGTCTTAATTCATACACTGAAGTTTCTTTAGGTTTTAGTACGAAGAAGCCTTGCCTGCCATGCGCAGGGCCTCCCTCAGTTTGATTCCCAGCACCACAATTGATTAGTTAAAAATTTGTTTTCCCACCAAGCGGCGGTGGCGGCGGCAGCGCAGGGGGCAGTGGTGGCGACGGCAGGGGTGGCGGTGGCGGTGGTGGTGGTAGTGGTGGTGCACACCTTTAATCTCAGCATTTGGGAGGCAGAGGCAGGTGGATCTCGGTGAGTCAGCCTGGTCTACAAAGAGAGTTCCAGGACAGCCAGGGCTGTTACATTAGAGAACCTTGTCTCAGAAAACCAGGAAGAGGGGGCAAAAAAAAAAAAGATTAAAAAAATTCTTTTCCCTAGTCCTGGGAGCATCACTTTTCTTTCTTACAAAAGTAAAGCAATTGAGGGTCTAGCCCAGCATCTTCTTGATTGTTAAGTCCTAGCTTGTTCTTTCTCCTTACCACACGGGGCCCCGCATCCCTCTTCCTTGTTACTACAGGCCTCACCGTTTTCATCTGCTGTCTCCACTGCCCGTCCTCCTGGTGGTTGGGCCTCTGGTATGTGCACTTGTGCACAATGAACTGTGAACTTCTAGCCACGTGTAGTGCCCTTGGGTACTTGGAAGGGGACACTTACCACAAGGAGCCAGATTGCTTAGGTGAGTGATCTTTTGAGGAACTAGGTGAAAAACTCCCTTGCACTGAGGGCTGGTGAATTCCTCAGGTTACCGGTATGAAGAGTGAATGGGCCTGGGCAGCTTCTTCTGGGTCACAAGCATGTGTTTCACTCTGTCTCTAAAGAGAGCGTGAAGGACCTGATCCGCTACTTGCGGCATGAGGATGAGACGAGAGACGTGCGGCAGCAGTTGGGAGCTGCACAGATCCTGCAGAGTGACCTCCTGCCCATCCTCACCCAGCACCGCCAGGACAAGCCTCTCTTCGATGCTGTTATCAGGTTTGTTCCTCAGCCTTCTGCCACCTGCCGTGTGTGGCCTGTGTTGGAAAGGAAGCCTAACTACTTCCTCCTTCACTGTCTCCCCAGGCTGATGGTGAATCTGACCCAACCAGCCTTACTCTGTTTTGGCGGCGTGCCTAAGGACCCTGGTGTGCGGCACCATTTCCTGCAGGTTCTAACTCACCTGCAGGCCTACAAAGAGGTGAGAAGACTTTCTCCAGAGGCGCTAGGTCCACGTTTGGAGAGGGAGGAAGGAGAAGGCAGGCACTACCTACCAGCTGTTCCCTGTTCCACAGGCATTTGCCAGTGAGAAGACTTTCGGAGTCCTCAGTGAAACCTTGTATGAGCTGCTGCAGCTGGTAAGTGAGTCTACACCCTACACATCCCACAAGGCTGTGAGACCCTCAGCTCCCTTAGGCAGACGAAGGCGCTGTGCCTGGAAAGGTCCTCAGCCCTCAGCGATACGGTAGTCGACTCTAGAGTTCCCAGTCACCTTAGGATGGCTTGACCACCACCCCCTTCTTCCTTTGCTTCCTTACTCTCATTTTTTCTTTTTTTAAAATTTATTTTATTTTATATGTATGTGTGCTCTGCTTACGTATATGTATGTGCGCCGTGTGTGTCAGGTGCCTCAGAGGTCAGAAGGGGCATTGAAGCCCCTGGAACTGTAGCTGTGGATGGTTGTGAGCTGTCATGTGGGTGCTAGGAACTGAATACAGGTCCTCTGCAAGAGTAACAAGTGCTCTTAACTGCTGGGCTAAATCTCCAGTCGTCCCCCAGCTCCTTTTTTTTTTTTCGATTGGGTCTCATGTAGCCCGGGCTGGCTTCACACTCAAGCTCACTACTTAACTGTGTAGCTGAAGATGAGTTTGAACTCATGACTCTTCCTCCTGAGTGCCGGGACTTTAGCCATGCACTACCATACTCTGCCCCCTGCCCTGTAGTCCCTGGGATTGAATCCTGGCGCGGATGTATGCTACACAAGAACTCTACCACTGAAATATATCTCTGGCTCTCTTTTATTTTTTCGAGACAGGTTTTCTCTGTGTAGCTTTGGAGCCTGTCCTGGTACTCGCTCTGGAAACCAGGCTGGCCTCCAACTCACAGTGATCCGTCTGCCTCTGCCTCCTGAGTGCTGGGATTAAAGGCATGCGCCACCAACGCCCGGCTATTTTTTGTTTTTTTTGAGGCAAGATCTCACTATATTGCCCAGGGTATCCTTGAACTCACTCTGTAATCTGGGTAGGCTTTGAACTTGCAGTCATTCTGCCTCGGTCTCCTGAGAAGCTGGGGTTACATGCCTGTGCCACCAGACTTGGCTCACTCGTTTCTTATTTTATTATTATTATATTTATTATTATTTTGGGGACGGGGCTCAAGACAGGGTTTCTCTGTGGCTTTGGAGGCTGTCCTGGAACTAGCTCTTGTAGATCAGGCTGGTCTCGAACTCACAGAGATCTGCCTGCCTCTGCCTTCTGAGTGCTGGGATTAAAGACATGTGCCACCTTAGAAATTTATCTAAGTGTGTGTGTGTGTGCCTGTGCGTGTGCGTGTGCATGTGTGTGTGTGTACCTGTCTGTCTGTGTGTGTCAGTTTTTTCTCCTTTTGTCCAGGGCTGGGAGGACAGGCAGGAAGAAGATAACTTGCTGATTGAACGGATCTTGCTGCTGGTCAGAAATATTCTGCATGTCCCAGCTGACCTTGAGCAGGAGAAGGTGAGGGTCTTGTGGCATCTGGATTCTTGTGCTGGTTTGGGTGAACTCCCTGCTTTCAGATTTTTCTGTCTTCCAACAAGTCTAGGGAAGAGCCTTATCCAAGGAGTGTGTTGGGGACTTTGGGGGGTGGCCGTGTGGCTGAGCGTGTCCTTCCTCCCTCTTCACTGCCTGCCCAGAGGATTGACGATGATGCCAGCATCCATGACCGGCTGCTTTGGGCAATTCATCTCAGTGGCATGGACGACTTGCTCCTCTTTCTGTCCAGCTCATCTGCTGAGCAGCAGTGGAGTCTCCATGTGTTGGAAATTGTTTCCCTTATGTTCCGAGACCAGGTGAGGCCCTGCATACTCTCCCGGCCCCTCCATCCGTGTGCTTTTTGCCACATGGCCAGTTGTTCTGGTAGTAATGGGGAGTCACCTGAGGAGGCAGGTGATGGGTGCCGTGGCTGTGTCTTCTGTACGAGCCCATTAGCAGTTCTGTATGTTTGTGGTTTTCGTTCCTAGTAGGAGTGAACTAAGGCTTAGACATGAGGGTTAAGAACCCTGGTTCTGATTCTTCCTCCTTGTTCCTAATCCAGAACCCTGAACAGCTAGCAGGAGTAGGGCAGGGACGCTTGGCTCAGGAGCGAAGCACAGACATGGCAGAGCTGGAGGTGCTACGCCAGCGGGAGATGGCGGAGAAGAGAACTCGCGCCCTCCAAAGAGGCAACAGGTGGGTGGCAGAGCACTCTGCTGCGTTCCCGAGTCACAGCAGCAAACACCAGCACGGACAGTTCGAGGTTGGGAAATATATATTTTTTTGGGGGGGGAGGGCTTCAAGACAGGGTTTCTCTGTGTAGCTTTGGAGCCTATCCTGGCACTCGCTCTGTAGACCAGGCTGGCCTCGAACTCACAGAGATCTGCCTGCCTCTGCCTCCTGAGTGCTGGGATTAAAGGCATGCGCCACCAATGCCCGGCCAGGGAAATATTTTAAAGCTAACTCACAGAGCTGCTGACAGAGCAGAATTGCCTAACACTTCAAGAGAATGGAGGAGTCATTTTGGAACCTTTTTTTTTTTTTCCTTGAAGGCACTCTCGATTTGGGGGCTCCTACATTGTCCAGGGGTTGAAGTCCATTGGGGAGAGGGATGTCATTTTTCACAAAGGCCTTCACAATGTGAGTATGCATCTGTACAAGGCGGAAACACTCGAGTTGCAGGGCCTGAGAGGGGCTCTGTTCTTAGGCTTAGAAAGTTGGGGACAGCAGAAGTAGATCCTCTGGTGTTGTGTTGTGTCCACGGATGCCAACACCAGTACCAGAGGCAGAGATACTTGTAGGCATTCCTTCTATGAAAACTTGAGGACAGTGGCTGTAAAAAACCGTAAGGGGCAGGGTAATCAGGACTTAACTCTGATGCCTCTACCCCTGCCCTTAGCTCCGAAACTACAGTTCAGATCTGGGGAAGCAGCCCCGGAGGGTGCCGAAGAGTCGCCAGGCTGCCCAGGAGCTGTCCGTTCACCGCCGCTCCGCCCTCAACGTGAGGCTCTTCCTCAGGGACTTCTGCTCCGAGTTCCTGGAGAACTGTTACAACCCACTCATGGGTGCAGTCAAGGTGAGAGTCCGGGAAAGAGGTCTAGGGATAGAGCAGAGAGGTGACATGGCCAGTGGTTGGCAAGGAGGACACCCTGCCGAGGGTCCAAGGAAGGCTGGACTTGTGAGGATATAGAGGGAGTGGGGGCCCTGACAGAACAAAGATTCTAAGGAATGGATTATTATTAGCATGACTAAAAAAACACACACAAAAAAACAGTTCTTGGTGGGGCTGGATAGTTTATCGGCTAAGAGCACTTGCTGCTCCTGCAGAGAGTTTGATCCCAGATCAATCAGGTTGCTTGATGCTGCCTGGAGCTACAGCTTCAGAAGGTCTGTTGTCCTCTTATGGCTTCTGGGGACATTGACACCCATGTGTACACACCCATACAGAGACATGTTAAATAAAAAGTAAGATGAATCTTTTAAAAGGAGGCTCTGGAGCAATATCCACACAGGAAAGGGAGGAGAGTATGAACAGACCTGAGAACAAGAGGAAATGAAAATTATGGATTCTAGGAAATCTTATATTGGTGTCCAGGGTCCAACCCCTCGTCTGAGGCTAGAGCATCTGGAAGGGAGTTAAAAGCCCTGAGGTCACAGTGGTCTCTTTGTCAGGACCACCTGCTTCGGGAGAGAGCCCAACAGCACGATGAGACGTACTACATGTGGGCTTTGGCCTTCTTTATGGCCTTCAACCGAGCTGCCTCCTTCCGCCCTGGCTTTGTCTCTGAGACCCTGAGTGTCCGTACCTTCCACTTCGTGGAGCAGAACCTCACCAACTACTATGAGATGATGCTGACTGACCGCAAGGAGGCCGCCTCCTGGGCACGCCGGTCAGTGGGAAGGCCCCTGGGGTCACAGCGGGTACCTTCTGGCCACCAGAATCATGGATACTCAGTTTTCCTACTTCAAGGTTGAGATGGTCAGGCTAGTGAAGGGCTGGTGGACCCTTCTCATTTTAGAGACACTCGTGGGGAGGAATTGACACCTACATTACCAAAGCCTTTAGGTGCCCTCCATTTTGCCTGTTGTCCTCGTTTTACCTGTTGCCCTCGTTTTACCTGTTGCCCTCCACTCTGTCAGGATGCACCTAGCTCTAAAAGCCTACCAGGAGCTGCTGGCCACAGTAAATGAGATGGACATTTGCCCAGATGAAGCTGTGAGAGAGAGCAGTCGCATCATCAAAAGTGAGGCCCTGGCCTGGTCTCTGACCCTGTCCTTCCCATTTCTTGTCTAGAATCTTACTCCTCCAAGTCCCAACTTCATCTCTCCTCTTCCAAGCCCTTTCACTCCTTTCTCATTTTCACTCCTAGACAACATTTTCTATATGATGGAGTACCGAGAACTCTTCCTGGCACTCTTTCGAAAGTTCGATGAGAGATACCACCCACGTTCATTCCTTCGTGACCTGGTGGAAACCACCCACCTCTTCCTCAAGATGTTGGAGCGGTTTTGTCGGAGCCGTGGGAACCTGATGGTGCAGGTACTGGGCAGCTCCAGGGTGTGGGGAGAGCTGTGGGGAGGGTGAAGGGTAGAGGGCTCCTCAAGGTTTCTATAGCTGACAGTGACCTGCTAGAACTATTCTGAACTAAAGGCCAGAGACTGGTGAGTGGCAGCAGAGGAAACTCTGTTGAGTTGCCTATTAGGTTTGTCTTTACTCTGTCTCAAAGGGGAAGGCAGAAGGCGTTGTGAAAAACACACCAGCCTCTGCCATGCATTCATACATACAGATTCACTTACACTATAGACACACACGAAAGTAAATAGGTCAGGCTAGTCCCCTATTAATTATAATTAGGGTGCACTCAAACAGCCCATGTCAGTCTCCAGGTTCCTAAATTGACATTGTGTCCAAAATTGGGTAGTAGATGAAAAGACAAAGACAAAAAGTCAAGGAAAGAACTCCAACAAATTTCTTTTTTTCCCTTTAAATTAGAAACAATCTTGTTTTACATGTCAATCCCAGTTCCCTCTCCCTCCCTCCCCACCCCACCCCCCACAGACCTGCTATCCCATCCCCTTTCTGCTCCCCAAGGAGGGCAAGTCCTTTCATGAGGGATCTTCAAAGTCTGTCACATCATTTGGGCAGGGCCTAGGCCCTCTCCCGTGTGTCTAGGCTGAGAGAGTATCCCTCTATATGGAATGGGCTCCCAAAGTCCATTCATGTACTAGGGATAAATACTGATCCACTACCAGAGGCCCTATAGACTTCCCAGACCTCAAAATGACACCCATATTGGGAGGGTCTGGATCAGTCCTATACTGGTTTCCCAACTATCAGTCTGGGGTCCATGAGTTCCCCCTTGCTCAGATCACTGTTTCTTTGGGTTTCTCCAGCCTGGTCTTGACCCCTTTGCTCATCACTCCTCCCTTCCAACAAATTTCTATCTTAGAGACACAAAGATTTGGCTTTGTAAAAACATGTTTGTTTGTTTGTTTTTGGTTTTTCAAGACAGGGTTTCTCTGTGTAGCTTTGGAGCCTATCCTGGCACTCACTCTGGAGACCAGGCTGGCCTCGAACTCAGAGAGATCCGCCTGTCTCTGCCTCTTGGGTGCTGGGATTAAAGGTGTGCGCCACCAACTCCTGACCCTCATGTTTTTTTTTTCTTTAACTTTTTGTATGGGTCTGGCAAGATTGCTCAGCAGGTAAAGGCACTTACTGGTAAGCCTGGTGCCCTGAGAGAACAAATTTCCCCAAGGTATCCTCTGGCTTCCTCTCTCTCTCCTTCTCTCTCTCTCCCCCTCCCTCCCACCTTCCCTCCCTCCCTCCCTCCCTCTCTCTCTCTCTCTCTCTCTCTCTCTCCCTCTCTCTCTCTCTCTCTCACACACACACACACACACACACACACACACACACACACACACACACACACACACGTCAGAACTAGGGCTGGAGAAATGGCTTCAATGGTTAAGAGCGTTGGCTGCTCTTCCAGAGAACCTAGGTTCAATTCCCAGCACACACACATGGCAGCTCACAACTGTCAGTAACTCCAGTTCCAGGGCTTTTGATACCATCACACAGACATACATGCTGATAAAACACCAATGAACATAAAATAAAATCATAAAATATGTCAGAACTGAGCTAGAGATGTGGTTCAGCGATTAAGAGTACGTGCAGTCATTGCAGAAGACCCTGGCTTGGTCCTCAGCACTCACACGGCAGCTCACAACCATTTGCACTTCAGTTCCAGGGGACCTAGCACCTACAGGGGCTGCAGTCACATATGTGGTGTGTAAATGTATGTATGTGTGTGTATATATATATGTGTATGATAACAAAACATTCATTCACATAAACATTAAAGAAATTAAGGCTGGCCAGGTGGTGTTGGTGTACACCGTTAGTCCCAGCACTGGGGGAGGGTGTGGCGCAGAGGCAGATGGATCTCCGTGAGTTCGAGTCCAGCCTGGTCTACAGAGCGAGTTCCAGGACAGCCTTCAAAGCTACAGAGAAACCCTGTCTTAGAAAACAAAACAGAGAGAAAGGGAGGGAGGTGGGGAAAGAGAGATATTAAGGCTGGAAAGGTGCTTACAGAGGACCCAGGTTCAGTTCCAGGACACATGGAAACTCACAACTGTCTATGACTCTAGTTCCTGGCATCACTAATTACCTCTTCTGGCCTCTGCAGGTACTGCAGACATGGTTGGTGCACATACCTGAATACACACCTGCACATACATGCCTGCATGTATGTATGTTATCTGCATGTGTGTGCTTGCACACCAGAAGAGGGCACCAGATCTCATTACAGATGGTTGTGAGCCCCCATGTGGTTGATTCAAATTGAACTCAGGTCCTCTGGAAGAGCAGTCAGTGCTCTGAACCTCTGAGCCATCTCTCCAGTCTTGGTTTTGTTTTTAATTTAAAAAGACATTGCCACCTTTGGCAAACTCTTACTCCAAGAAATAGGCATTTTATACTTATCCTCATCCTAGCTTCTCCGCACTGTAATGGCATTGTCTCTTGACTTGCCTGTTTCTCCTGGAGGACAAGGAAATAGTGTCCTGTGTCCTCTGCCTGCATTCCACGTCATTAACACTGAGGGACAGAGACTTCTGTGGCTCTTCTGCAATTACCATACAGTTCTTTCCCCTTAGAACAAAAGAAAAAAGAGAAAGAAGAAGAAGAAGAAGGTTCAGGACCAAAGTGTTGCTTCTGATCATGTCTCACACAGCCCTGGTGAGCTGGAGGCCCTGTGGCCAGCCCTGGAAGAACAGCTGCTGCGGTGTGCCCAGGTAGGTAGTTACAGAAGCCCTATCCTTTGTGAGGACAGTACTCTTGTAGGCAGTCTGGCTTTCCTCCCCCTCTGCTCCCATGGCTGTGTCTGTCTGTAGGATCCTGAGCTCAGTACAGACTCCATCATTCCCTTTGATGCGGCCTCAGAGGTACCAGTGGAAGAGCAGAGGGTAGAAGCCATGGTGAGGATTCAAGACTGCCTTCTGGATGGCCAGGCCCCACAAGCCCTGGCCCTCCTGCGGTCTGCCCGGTAAGAATCCCGTGTACCCACTCTCCTGGGCTTTGAAGGAATGGGAGGTCTTCACTGGGGTCTGGCGTTCTCGGGTCTCAGGAGAGAAGTGTCTCAACAGAGACTGTGGATCTTGGTTCTCGACACTGTCTTTGTAGGCCTTGATTGGGTAGTTGGAGCTTTTTCTTTTTAGAAGTGTCAGTAAACACAGTTCACAGAGGAAGAAAATAAATACAATTCTACCAGCCAAGGTTAACCCTGGGTAACACATTGATGAGTGACCTTTCAGTGTCTCTTCTGTAGAGATGCTGTGTGTAAACCTACAGGCATGGAATACCTGCATTCCTCGATTGAGTGTTATTTTTACTTCTCTCTATGTATGTATATTAGACTTATTTCATGTGTATGAACATTTTGCCTGAATGTACATATGTGCACCACAGTCTCTCCTCTTTGCCTGTGGAGGCCAGAAAAGGATTTGAGATCCTCTGGATCCGGGGTTACAGATGCTTGCGGGCTGCCATGTTGGTGCTGGGAATCGAACCCAGGTCTTCTGCAAGAGCAATATGCCTTGTGAGAAATAATCCCCTACCCTCTTTCATCACTGAGGTAGCAGTTTCCCTTCTCTCTTCAATTGACACAGGAACAAATTTCTCCTACCAGTCCTAATTGCAACTCCAACTTCCTGTGATTAAAGCCTTTTCTGTCTGTCTCCAGGGAGGTGTGGCCTGAAGGAAACGTGTTTGGCTCTCCAGTCACTTCTCCAGGGGAAGAAATGCAGTTGTTGAAACAAATCCTTGTTGCCCCGCTTCCAAGTGAGTCCATTCTTTCCTGGCTTTCCTCCCAGCTGTGCTCCACACCAGCATGGCAGAAACCCAGTAATTCTCGTTCTTTGTACAGGGCAGCAGGAGCCGATAGAAGGAGATGCAGAGGAGGAAGAGGAGGAGGAGGAAGAGGAGGAGGAGTTGCAGGTGGCGCAGGTGTCAGAGAAAGAGTTTAACTTTCTGGACTACTTGAAACGGTGAGGGCTGAGAGGATTGACTGGGTGGGCCCTGTGAGGCTGAGCAGCGGCGTGGCTGTCCAATGCTGAATAACTTCCTTCTATGTTTTGGTACAGCTTTGCATGCTCATCCATTGTGCGAGCCTACATGCTTCTGCTGCGGAGCTACCGGCAGAACAGCGCTCACACCAACCATTGTGTTGCCAAGATGCTGCACCGGCTGGCCCATGACCTGGGAATGGAAGCCCTGCTTTTCCAGCTGTCCTTGTTCTGCCTCTTTAATAGGCTGCTGAGTGACCCGGCTGCTGGAGCCTACAAAGTGAGAGACTGCTGAGGAGTGGTACACGGTGGGGTGTGGGGCGTGAGTGATTCTCAGGAGAAAAGAAGACTGAGGTGTTAAGGGCAGAGAGGTGAGGATACAGTGAAGGGGTCAGCAGAGAGGTTGAGGAAGCCGTATGGAGGACAAGAGAGGCAGTGAGAAGGTAGAGCCAGACTGGGAACAGGCAGAGAGACAGATGGGGCCAGATGTGCCCCATTGGACTGAGGTGCCATGGTAGCTTTTCTTCCGTACAGGAGCTGGTGACTTTTGCCAAATACATCCTTGGCAAGTTCTTCGCATTGGCTGCCGTCAACCAAAAAGCTTTTGTGGAGCTGCTGTTCTGGAAGAACACTGCCGTGGTTCGAGAGATGACTCAGGGATACGGCTCCCTCGACAGTGGGTAAGCTGAGGGCTGGGGGTGCAGGACGGTGGTGCAGTCTGCATCATTTGCTCTAATGTTTTCTTCTCCTTTCAGAAGGGAGGGCATTGGCCCCAAGGTCAAATGCTCTTCCTGAGCATTCCCAAGTCAGGAAGAAGGCTGGACCTAAGTCTCCTGCCACTTTAGTTTCTCTCTCTGTCACTGGTCTTCACAGAGGTGGAGAGGTGGCCACTGATGGCAGCAGGGTAGTTCCCAGAGAGTCCCTGTGTGCTGGGTCACCAGGGTGTGGTGATCCCTGTCTGACCCCAGCTCTTAAGAGACTCAGGCAGAAAGATGAGAGCTAAAGGTCCCCCTGGACTACACAGCAAATACAAGGCCATGCTGGGTCCTGTGAGAGCTGGTCTAAAACAAGAAAGGCTTCCTCTTGTCCTTTTGTCTTCTGTCTTCTCTCCTTCACACTGCTCTTTTTCCCATTTTGATCTTAGTTCTTGGAGTGTCGGGTTCTATTCTGTAGGTCCCCAATCAAAACCTCTGATTTTGTCAAGAGCAAAGGAAAAAAATGTTTTAGGCCTCTGCTCTTGGCTTCTTTGAGTTTGCCACCATCATCCTTTGTTCTGAACTGGTGACGGAGAGCTTCGGTCTTGTCTTTTTAAACCGATGGCCTCCATGCACCTGTTTTCTTTCACCGTTCAGGTCTTCCAGTCACAGAGCCACTGCGTGGAGCCCTGAGGAAGAGGCCCAGCTTCAGGAACTATACCTCGCCCATAAGGATGTGGAAGGTGTGAGGCTTTGAGGTCTCAAGCAGCTGTGAGGAGGGCAGCCTAGGATCTCAGACTCCTCCATACTGCCCCATTCCTTCTCCCACACAGGTCAGGATGTAGTGGGAACCATCCTCGCACACTTGAAAACTGTTCCTCGAACACGCAGGCAGGTCATCCACCATCTGGTGCGGATGGGACTGGCCGACAGTGTCAAGGACTTCCAAAGGCAAGGCACTTGCTCTGGAGGGAACAGGGATGGGGTGTGTGTCTGTGTATGTGTGTGTGTCTGTGTGTCTGTAAGGAAACCCAGTTTGCTTGATGTGTATGGAAACCCAGTTGGCTTGAGGCCTTCCCAGCACTGACACTTGCCTGAACAGGAAAGGGACCCAGATTGTCTTGTGGACAGAGGATCAGGAGCTGGAACTGCAGCGTCTCTTTGAGGAGTTCCAGGATTCTGATGGTGAGTAAAAGACAGCTGAGATAAGAGCCAGGCTGCAGCTTCCCCTCTGCCTCTCACTCCTGAGGAAACCCTGTGTTCACCTGCTACATTGTGTCGCTTGGAGTCAGCTGAGCTGGCCTTTCATTTCCATTACTCACTTCTTCCCAGTTGTTCTAGAGTGTCCAAATGTGCTCTGTCTCTCTGCATCTCTCCCTCCCGTCCTCCCTTCCCTCCCTCTCTCTCTGCAGATGTTCTTGGTCATATCATGAAGAATATCACAGCCAAACGTTCTCGGGCTCGAATAGTAGACAAACTGCTGGCCCTGGGGTTGGTGTCTGAGCGGCGGCAACTGTACAAGAAACGGAGAAAGAAAGTGGCACCCTCTTGCACGGTAACCATCTTATCCTGGCTCTTCTGGCCTGGTCCTTGCCCTGAAAAACACTTTTGGATTCTCCGTGCTGCAGGCTGTTCAGGCCAGGTCCCTTTAGTGGTAGAGATTGGGCCAAAACCCCACTAAGGTCACCCTGAGGCCTTTTTTTTTTTTTTTTTTCCTCTGTCTCCTATCAATTTTAGCCAAATGGAGGCGTGTCCCTGAAGGATCCTTGGCAGGAAGATACGGAAGAGGAAGAAGAACACTTGCCAGAGGAAGAGGAAGAGGAAGAGGAAGACTTGGAAGCAGAACCAGTGCATAGTAGTTCATTTCTCTCTGCTGGAAACCTTGGTCAGAGCCTCCATCAGGAAGGTGAGGACTTTGCTTGGGAGAGATATTAGGGGTGGAGGGGTTTGGAAGGGAGCAGGGACCAAGTACAAGTTTCCCTTCACTCAGGCCTCTCTGCTCCCCTCCTGTGGCTCCAGAACTGCCTGGTTCGTGCGGCAGATGATCGGCAAGAGGGCGGTAAGTGCATTGGACCACCAGGGCTGCTTGGGCTGGTGTGGCCGAGGCCCTCCTTCCTTCACATCCTCACCATATGCTGTGGCACTGTTCCAGGCTGCTCCCAAGCCATCCCTCTGGTGCCTCTGACGGAAGAAAATGAGGACGCAATGGAGAACGAACAGTTCCAGAATCTTCTACGAAAGCTAGGGATCCGGCCGCCCACCCCAGGGCAGGCAAGTGTCCAAGGAGGACGGTGTCAGCAAGCTAGGGATCCGCTCCCCACCCCAGAGCAGGCAAATTGAGCTGGTGTAGTATCAGCGGGGATTTCTGGTCCTACCAAAACACACCTTGTTGTTGGCCTGATCCTCCCTGCTGCCTTATCTGTGCTCACCAGGATTCCTGCATCAGGCCTCTTGCTGTCTTTCTCTCCTCTCTAGGCTCCCTTCCCTAACTCTATGTCCTAGTCTCCATACTATCCCTTCTCTGTCTGGAGCACTTGATGGTTCTGTGTGTTCACAGCCTCCAGGTGGCATACCTGGCCGTGGCCATTCCATGCACACACACCCCTGCTTCCCACCACGGTCATCTCAAACTATTTTTCACTCTGCAAATTTCAGGCCTGTTCATGCATAGCCAATTCATCTTCCTTTTGGAAGCTCCAGCTACACATACAAAGAGGCACATACACACAGACATGTACCCCTTCCCCCATCTTCCTGTTAAACCTCAACCAGGGGCAGCTCAATGTCACTTCCTCAGAGAAGCCCATCCAACCCCTGAACCAAACATGATTACTCTGGTGCCATGTCCTACCGGTAGCGCTATAGCACATTGCTTTTCTCCTGGTGACTCTGAGTGTGGCTCCCACGTGTTCACCTTTATGTGACCAGGATCCTTCCCTACACTTACTGTTGACAGTTGTGCTTACTGGGAACCTGATGGAGGCCTGAGCTACACATAGGGTGTCTGTTGTGAATAAGAAGTCAAGTTTACAATTCCTGTGGATCATTCTCCTTATATTTATTCAACTTTATTTTTATTATTTTGTATTTCATTGTTCAATTTATGCAATGAATAATAGAAAAATAAATATAGTGACCAGAGAGGCAGTTACCTCACTTACTGTGCCCCTTTAGGAGACCTTCTGGCGAATCCCAGCCAAGTGGAGCTCCATCCAGCTCCGGAGAGTGGCCGCTGCTTTGAGTCAACAAGAAGAGGAGGAAGAAAGGGAAGAGGAGCCAGAGCTCCATCCAGGAGCTCCTGGAGAGCACCGTCCCGATGAAGAGCACCGAGCTAAGGCCCTGAGAGCCCTCTTGTCAGCCCGTAAGAGGAAAGCAGGCCAGATGTCTCCAGAAGGTAAAGTGGTACTGCTCACCCCCTGATGACTTTACAGGGGTTTGAGGGCTGGGAGGGTGTTTTAAGTTGATGAAGACCTAGTTCCTTAATTGTGTGTCTTACAGTCACTTCAGAGGAAGAGACCACTGGGGAGAAAGAATGGAAAAGAGTGTCTAAGAAGCGAGAACTGCTGGACAGTGATGAAGAAGAGGATGAGGGGAGAGGACAAGGTAGGGACCCTGATTGTGTCCTGCTTCTTCTGCTCTCTGTATTCGGTCTGAAGACATTGCTGTTTGCCTTATCCTTTTACATACTTAGACGTTTTCTCTTCCTGCCTCTCACCTGTCACTCCCGTAGCATCAGAGCTGGGAACTCCAGTAATCCACAAGAAGAAACGGTTTCAAATACAGGATGATGATGATGACTGAGAAGCCAGATGCCTCGTGCTGGAGACAGGTGCCAGTAGAAGGCACAGCAGCTACTATGCTTGCATTGAACGATCTTCCCTATACCGACGGCCCAGGAGTCTTACGCAGCAGTGTTGGATGGACTCCGCAGTCAGTCCTACCCCAGTTTCATCAGTGTGTACCTCGAGTCTCTGGAGCCGTCTCTTAGGAAACGAGGAGTAAATGAAACACACAGGGTAGCCTGCACTCCTCTCTGTGGCTGTCTGCAGGAGGCAAGTCTCAACCTCAGCAGGGAGCTTCCTAAGTACATGGGGGTTCACATCATCTTTGGGAGACACTGGAGTTCCCTCATCTTCTTTCCAGTGATTGATCCCTGGGCACAGATTGACCCTGTTCCTGCAGTTGAGGTACTGTTGGGATGCACTACTTTCAAGATGACAAACCTTGATTTGTGTTTCATACTCAACGTAAAATTAAAAGTTGCTGATCTTGCCAGGTGGTGGTGGTGCACACCTTTAATCCCAGCACTTGGGAGGCAGAGGCAGGCGAATCTTTGTGAGTTCCAGGCCAGCCTGGGCTACAAAGCAAGTTCCAGGACAGGCTCCAAAGTTACACAGAAACCCTGTCTTGAAAAAACAAAAAAGTTGTTGATACTGATATGTCTTGTGGCTCAGGCTTCACCAGCCAGCCATCTATTGTGCCTTTGGAAGAACTTTAAGAGTTAGAGTTGAAATCATTTCAGATTACCACAAGGAGAGGGAAGGCGGGGGGGTATGCCACCACACCGGGCTCAATAAATGTAATTTTAAAAAGAGAGGCTTCTCTTTTCTTCTGCTCTTCCCCAATAGACAAAAGCAGTGTCACTCCAAGAAGCTTGGTCTTGCTGGCCACAGGATGCTTGTGGCCTCTTGGTTCAGCTCCTCATGAGGCTGGGATAAGATCTTGAATTTGAGGCCATGCTGGACAAATTAGTGAAACTACCTTAAAAAACAGCAGAAAGCAAAACCAACTGAAAGGGGTAAACTAAACCAAGAGGCTTGCTTCACTTCTAGGAATGAAAGGACCAGACCCTCACTCATCCAGTGCTTTAGCACCCATAACAGGCTACAGAAAAGACACGTAGGCCTGTAACACAAGGAAACTCCAGATACTTTGGCCTCCTGGAGTCTAGGGCCAAAACTGAACACAAAGAAACTCCAGACCCATCCTCACCCCACCCCCAGCCTCCTAGGTACTTGGTTCCTGGGAACTGTTTGGCCACAAAAGAAACTCCAGGGGAGACCAGAACCTCCCCTATAGTCTCCAGGATGCAGTTCTGAAAACTATTGGTATCTATGAACAACAGCCCACCTGCAAGTAACAAGACAAAGCCATAGAAACCAGAATGTTCCCTCTCAGCACTGACCAATGAGAATATCTGGTACACAGGTATCTCATGCCAAAATATGACCTTGAGAAATTCTCCTGATTGTTCCCAAATGTCAACCAACCAGAAACCTGTACCTACTGATGTAATCCTGTAACTTTTGTCTTTAAAACCTAGCAGTAGACAGAACTTCACCCCTTCTGGAGGTGCTGCATCAGCTAGCCAGCTGGGGTCCCTCTCCCCGTAGGATGGAACAATCAGTAAACCTGGTGCATTTGCATCGATGGTCTGTCTCCCTGGTCTCTTTGGGGATCTTTGTGACGAGGACACAACATCAACCAAACAAAAAACATTTGAGAATAAATCTTCAAAAAATTATTTCAGGGACTGGAGAGATGGCTCAGAGGTTAAGAGCACTGGCTGCTCTTCCAGAGGACCTGAGTTCTGTTCCCAACAACCACATGGTGGCTCAACCCTCTGTAATGAGATCTGGTGGCTTCTATGCAGGCAGAAAATGGCATACATAATAAATCTTTAAAAAAGATTATTTCATATGTATGTGTTTGTAAGTGTATGACAGATTTGTGAGTGGGTACCTGAGAGGCCAAACGAGGGCTCTGGACCATTTGGAGCTGGAGTCATGAGTCATGGGCAGTGTGAACTACCGGATGTGGGTGCTAGAAACTTGTTTTGAAAGAAAATGGCCTCCAAAGGGAATGGCACTCTTAGGAGGAGTGGTCTTGGAGGAAGTGTGTCACTATGGAGGTGGGCTTTGAGGCTTTGTATTCTCAAGCCCCTCCCAATGAGACAGACCACTTCCTGTTGTCTGCCATCAAGATGTAGGAATTATAACTCCCTCTCCAGCACCATGTCCCACCATGATAATGGACTAAACCTCTGAAACTGTAAACCACCCCAATTTAATGTTTTCCTCCGAGGGCTGGAGAGATGGCTCAGGGTTAGTTAAGACCACTGGCTGCTGTTCCAGAGGACAAGGGTTCTATTCCTAGTACCCGCATGGCAGCTAACAACTGACTATAATTCCTAAGATCTGACACCCTCACACAGATATACATACAGGCAAAACACCAGTGTACATAAAATAAGAATAAATACATTTAAAAAAAATGTTTTCCTTTATAAGAGTTGCTATGGTCATGATGTCTCTTCATAGCAATAGAACGCTGACTAAGACAGAACTGAACTGGGGTCCTGCTACCCATGAAGCATCTCCAACCCTGAGAATGGATCTTAACGTGTGCACTGGAAGAAGCAGACGCTACCGAGTTTAAACCAGTTTGTCAGTATCAGGCAAAGGAGAGGACATAAGACGGCAAGAAAGTCCTGGGTGATGACTGAAGAATAAACGATCTGCGTGAACAAAGGGCATGTGCTTAGCCTTGGAAGCCAGCTTTCTGCCCCTGGCTTCCAGTGGAACCAAGTTGAAGGTAAGATTCAGAAAATGGCCATTAAGATCTAAGGGCTCTACCTGGCATGGTGGCCCATGCTTTTAATCCCAACAGGCAGGCAGATCTCTTAGAGGCCAGCTTGGTCTACAAAGCAATTCCAGGACGGTCAGAGCTACACAGAGAGACCCTGTCTTAAAACAAGAAAAAAGTGACGTTCCCAAGGACTTTGGTGCCTTCTGGCTCTGACCAGTCTTGACATGTCTTGGTCCTGAGCCTTTCTCACTTTCCAGCTAAGCACTTTTATTTTTTCCCCTTTCCTATTCCGGCTGTGCTCTGCTGGCTTTCACAGCTGCCCTCAAAACTCTGACCTTCAGGGGAGTTACGAAATCCATGACATAAGCATTATTGATTACAGTTGTTGACCACTGCTTTATGAAAGTTGGCCTCTCTTATCCCCTCTCGAAGTTGGGTGGAGGTCAGATTGAGAGTTCTCTCCCTCTCATCACATGGTTGGTTCCCCTGGCAACCGACTAGTACCAGCCATTTTAGGGTGCCTCACTCAGCAGATTATAAGGGTTTAAAAACATGTATTAGAAAATGGAGTGGAAGCCAAATACTTCCTTTATAATATACCAGTCTGTTTGTCACTCAGATAACAACACTAGTGTTTTCTTTAGTCTACTTTTTAGCTAGGGATAGTGGTTTACACCTGTAACCCTAGCATTTGAGAGATGGGCGGCAGGATGATCAGGAATTCAAGGCCAGCCTTGACATAGGAAGTTTGAGGTAAGCCCTGTCTCAAATAGAAAAAAAAAAGTATCTACTACCCTTCTGATATTAATGTAGCCACCCCATTTCACACTCTTCTTTTTATTTATTTATTTATTTATTGGTTTTTCGAGACAGGGTTTCTCTGTGGCTTTGGAGGCTGCCCTGGAACTAGCTCTTGTAGACCAGGCTGGTCTCGAACTCAGAGAGATCCACCTGCCTCTGCCTCCCGAGTGCTGGGATTAAAGGCGTGCACCACCACCACCCGGCTCACACTCTTCTTTTTAAAAAATATTTATAGGAGCTGAAGAGATGGCTCGATGGTTGTTCTTCCACAGGACTTGGGTTTGATTCCCAGCACCTACATGGTGAAGGAACCAGCTTCCCTTTTGGCAGCCATAACAGCCGAACACGT